AAAGAGCTTCCTGATGTTGAAGTAATAAATGTTGTCTTCAAAACAATGGCAAAAACAGTAACAATTCTAGCTTTGTTCAGAAAGGTCAGCTTTAAAACACATCTGGACAGAATGGTACACAGCCAGCCCCTTTAATCTTTCTGCTGCCCTTTCAAAGTCAGACAGAAGATTCTATTTTACATGAACTTTGTTCTCAGTGAGACGGTCTTTTTTGTTCTCCACCCATTTTAAGTGGCTGTGGATGGTAGCATCTACACACTGATGTTTTAATGCTTCATAGATCAGTAACAGCCAAGGGTATCTACACTGCTGGCCTCCTCTCATCCTGACACCACGACCTCTTAACTGCTTCACTTGGGCATTCTGTTGGCAGTGTCAAAAGCTGCACTACTCGCTTGCCTTTTATGGATATTTTTCCTGACTTCAGGGCCTTCATGTTGTATTCCTTGCCTGAATCTGAAGGGGAAATAGCCATAAAAGCTTCTCTGAAAAATATAAAAATAAGGCCTTATGTGGCACTGTAATATTGAGAAATACAGTTACTCATCCAACATCATCCCTTGCAGTTAACATCTTTGCAATAAAGTTCTCACATACATTCTAACATGACAGATATTGAGCAAGATCAGAAGATCAGAGCCTTTAAGGACTCCAAAAGCAATCCAGATCGTATTTCTTTACTTATTATTTCATGCTGAAAATAATCTCACCCCTTAAAGGCAGGTCATTAAAAATGTTATCATAACTATTAGCAAATGATTCATTTTTCATCTTGTTAGAGAAACTAATTGCCCACTCAACTCTATTGCAGAGATATCTAGAGTCTGATCTCCTGTCTGTAATCTCAGGGCTGCATACCTAATTTCAGAAAGCCAGTCAGCTGGCAGCGGGCACAGAACACTCTTGGGGTTGGGCAAAGAATTCTTGCAAAGAATTCAAACTTCTCTTGGAAGAAGTCAGATAAGACCACTGAATGCCACTACTTGACAAAACAATTATTTTGGCAGAAGTTGAATTATGAATAAAGAAAAGCAAGCAACTTGATAGCAGAGGAAAGTTTACTTTGCTGGATTTCTTCAAATGTAAAAGGTCCCAGACCACTTTCACTTACACATTTGTTCAGTGTAGCCAGAAAATCAGGTATTTTGCTTGGTGTTCATAGACATACATTCCAAAAGAGCAGTTGCCTTTCAAAAACAGGAGGATATGGTTTTGCTTATTTTCTGATCTTGATACTTGTGCCAAGCAGCTAAGAAAGAAGTAAGTACATATATGCAACTCTAAAAGCAGTGAAATTAGAAGCTATTTGAATCTTCTAAATTCCAATGCCATGTTAGCAGAGTCCTCATGTCTACTTTGATTCCCATTTTACTCTTAAAAATGTATACATTTTTGCATGTACACTTCTACATATTGTAGACAAAAATGTACATATGCGGAATATTGTATTTTTCCTCTGTTTAGAGGAAGAAAATTGTAAATTCTCCTCTGTTTAGATCTCCACACAAAATGCAGGCAGATAGATAGGGTAGCCTGAATATAACTTCCTAAGTCTGTTTCCTATGAACAGGCAGGCACACAGACTGGCTAAAACCAATGATGGTTTCAAACTTTTGCGGGGTTACCTCAACCACCATGACAGTAGCTTGATTCAGCAATAACGGTTGCTTTTCAATATTTCATGCTGGAATAGCATTACAACACTGACTACAACTGAAGAAAGCACTGCAGGCCTTGCAAATTTCAGGACATTTGCTAATAACGAAGGCAATTTATTTCACACTATCAGATATCTGAAAAGAAAAGCAACTTATTTCAGCTTTCTTTAGAGAAAGATCCAATTTGCTGGTCATTTTATCCCAGCCTCTGTGTCTATTACCATACATATCTACTTAGCAAGCCTCTTTAATCAAGCTTCCCATCACCTTTACAAGTATGAGATGAAGCTATACTTAATAATTAATTTCAGGTATTCTCTCATATTCACTTCAGTGTATTTTAGCAAGAATCCTACTGTGCAATATTACTACTGCATTTGGTCTTTAATATACTTGAGCCAGAAACTGATGTAGGACAAGATATGAAAATTGGATCATTTTTTTTTTTTAAATGGAACTGCCGTAGACTAGTTAATCATCTTCCCCTTCAGAGAGAATCTTTTGTTAAAAGCCCACTGATGAAAAGCTGAAAGGACGGAGTATTTCAGATATAAAAGATAAAATCATAAATGCTACAGATTACAAGAAACTACTAAAATTAAGGAGCACAGCCTATGAATCTATCCAAACAAAAAACACGTATGTGATATATCTAAGTCAGAAACGGACATTCAGCATGTCATCAACACTTTCAGCACAACAGAGTAAAGCCATTTCTGAATAATTCTACACCAGAAAAGCAAAAGCATAATCTCTTTGAAGACAGAGGAGATCCCATGTTATTCTGGAAGAAGGTATTTATGGTATATCTACACTGCCTTGTACACCAGTAGATCAGGAGACCTACTATTCCTCTTCTCCTGAGTAACATGTGCAGGTACACAAAGCAGTTGCAGCCCCCAGTACTGAAATCTCCCCACCTGAAACTGCTGAGTGGGCAGCAGCATAAAGCTGTAGATATGCATCGAGATTTGCTAACAGATCTGATACTTTTCTTGATATTTTTCTTTTAACTGTAAATATTCAATAGGTTCACTAGAAAGATCTCTGTTGGAAAAAAAAAAAAAATTGTCCTGGTTTCAATAGAATACAGTTAATTTTCTTCTCAGCAGCTAGAATAGCACTGTGTTTTGGTTTCAGTATGGGATTTGTGATGAGAATGATGTTAATAACATACTGGTGTTTTTATTGGTTGCTGGAAGTTGAAGGACTTCTTGTTTTGCTAGTCTGAAGGTGCAAAGGACTTGGAGGGGGGGAAGAAGTGTTGTAAATAGCAAAACCCAAATTGGCATTTGGATATGCCAATGAGATTCCATATCATATAATATCATGTTCAGTATATTAATGAGGATTGACCGAAAAGCTGGGGGATTTTCTTGGGGATCACTCAGGATTACTCTTCCAGGATCGTGGTTTTGGGACTCTCTTGGCTCTGGGATCACTACCTGGGGACAGGCATCAGTCAGCAGGTGGTGAGCAAGTGCACTGTGCATCGCTCATTTGCATATTCTATTATTACCATTATTATTATTATTATTAATATTTTATTTCAATTAGTAAATTTTTTCTGATCCTATCCTATGAGTCTCCTTACCCTTACCCCTCCAATTCTCTCTTCTATTCCCTGGTGAGGAGGAGCAAGGAAAAGGGTAGCTTTCAAGTAGCAACCAGTGCATATTCTGTTTAATTTGTATTTTAATAGTTAAATGTAAACCCCTCCCCCCACCATTTTTTTTTTCTTCAAAGTACTTTAATACAAATCATTAATTTAAGGCAACTCTGTTAACCTGGTTTTCTGAGAAATAAAACAAAAAAAAATATATAAAACACAAATAATTTTCCTATGGCAGTGACCAACCAAGATCTTTTTGTTTTAAATCAAAAGGAAGCATGCTTAGCTGAAATGGAAGAGACATTCTCAAGCACTGCACTTACATCTTCAAAATGTGCAGAAGCTTATCTAAGAGGAACAGTAACTTAAATATTTAATTAAATAGTTTTTGCTTTTTACAGAAATACCAAGAATTTCTTCTGGTCTGAACTGGCAGCAAGTAATAGTTCCTGTTTCAAAGGAAATCTTGTATGCCATTAACACAGGGGGTTTTTTTTAAATCCACCACAATATACAAACTTCAGAAGTCACGATGGACTTCAAGCTGCAGAAATTGTTTCCTAAAAAGGAACAAAATAATTACCAAGCAAAACACGCACATAGTAATGATAAAAGTCAAGAATTTTACCTGCTAGGCAGCAACATACAGTCAATGTCAGGTCTCTTTGTCTTGGGAATGGCATATAGCGGATACCTATCTCCGTGTCGAATCAACACTTGAACTGACACTAGCTTAAAATAATGAGGTGCATGACCTAAAGCAAAAGGGAAAGGAAAAATAAAAATTAAAATCAAAAAAGTAAGTAGAAAGTTAAGTGAATGTTACCTAAATCTTCCGCCTTGGCAGTTTTTCTTCAAGAAAAAAATACAGGTATAACTGGCTTGATAGGTTTGGTGTTACAATGAAAGAAAATTCCCATAATAAATGATAACTTACTGTCCCAAGAAAGATTTCACTTCAAATTGCAAGATAACTTATATAAGCCTCAGGTGCTTAGCACATTCTTCATCATACATCTGAAGTCCAAAAAACAATCAAGATGTTATTCAAGCACTGACCTCTGACATGATAACGCCACCCCACTCTTATGATGTCTCTCTTCCAGACCCCTATTATAATAATGGATTTTGCAGTATGCCTAATTTGGAGCTTTTTGATATACTAGTTTGTGATTTATTTTATATGCATTAGTGGGATATGCTAATGAGGGAGTCCAGACTAACTTGCTGCTGCAGCCACTATAGGATGAAGAAGGCAAATGTGTCTTCTAGCTGACTATGTCTAATGGCTTGGAGTTTCAAAATTAACTCATTCTTTTGGGGTTTTTTCAGAATTTAAAGTCAACTGTTTTTCAGATGTTAATAATATAATTCACAATGCAGCTCACTTGTAATAAGCATTATAATTCAAATATTAAATATCTATATCACTCCTACCCCCTTTCCATTTTAGGTCTTCAGTTGACCATTGACAGCAGAACTGTTTCCAAAAATCATGACAACAGGGAAGATATAAAGGGGAGGAAAGAACAGCATATTTTGAATGATTTAACATTATTCAGCAACCAGCTGGTGTTTGCTGTACCTTCTTCAAGCACCAAAGAACTGACAATACATAAAGTTATAGTTTCCAAGGACAGCACATAGAAGCAAGCAACTAAACTGGCATTTCCATTCACAAAGCTTACCTTCCATGCTGCGTTCAGCAATGGTGGGAATATTGCAGTAAACATGAGCTTCATAAACGGGATCTATTGCAGGAGGCTCAGTCAGTAAATCAGGCATTATTCTCTTTCGGCTTTTAGGATTCAAACCATTTTCCCTGATGGTGTTTACTGGGATTAAATGCACTGAAAGATACAAAACATACAGCATACACCTTGAGGAGGGTTTAAGGACATATAGGACTGTGACTACTTTTTTTTTTTTTTTTAAGTAATTATGCACAAAGACTATGGTTTCAATGAAAGGATGCCACTCTACAGTTTAGATCTCTGTTGTGAATTTTTCATGATTTACATAGTCAAGGCAGCAAGCCCAGAGAGCTCTTTAGCAAAGCCAATGCTTGGCTAAGACTGCAGAAATACATCTGAATGTAGAACTTTGCCTTTTGCACTCTTCTTGAAGCTGTTTTTTCTGCCACTCTCTCATGAAGCTCTAAGAGCATGAATAGGAAGAAAAGAGTCATAACAGGCCCAGATGCCACTCATTGCTTTAACTTAAAAACTGACATTGAAGGACGTCAGCAAAAGACACAGCACAGTTATAATGTTGGTGCAACAAACCATTGGGAAAACAAAGCAGTCAAAACTGAAGGGGCTGGATTGTCCATCATTTTCCTTACTAATACCCGCCCTTCTTACACGGCTACCTTGCCAGCCTTATATAGTCTGACTTATCTAAAGAAAATGCACATTAAAGATATTTGTTGAAATGTAACAGACTATTACAAAAAATGTTAAATACAAAGAAATGCAGTTAACACTTATACACAGCAGGAAAATTAACAGAAATACTGCCACTAAATCTTCGACATGTAGGAGCATGTTGAAGCATATCTGAATTTAAGGTCAGAGTTGTATTGACAATGTCTCTCTACCCTGTCTTCATCTGAAAGCACTAGTTAATTTATGAGCCTTACAAGACTACACTTGTAATAATGAATGCCCACTTTTTTTTTTCCTTTCTCTTAGTATTTTCTGGTATTTGAACAGAGGTAGATTTAGAGGTGAAAGTGAGGAGGAAAAGCCTTCATATTTTTACCCCACTAGTCTTGTGTGGTGAGAGTATAAAAAGGAAAAAGAAAGAAAGAAAAGATGAGAGAACAAATTTCAAAGCAGAACTTTAATAATTCTTCTGGGTCAGTTCCTCCATTGCATCTTAACTCCCAGACCTAATTTTAGAGGCAAATTTGTTCCACAATAGAGAGTTGTGCCGACAACGAAAACCAATTAAGACAGCAAACTGAAGTGAAACACACAAAGATTTTAAGAGCACGTAGCCATTAATATAACACAGACTCTTCATTCTTACACTACAATACATCACACTTCAAGTATTTTTATGTGGTTTCTCTTTGCCTGCCAAAACCAGAATTCAGGCATTTTCCATACCCTTGCTAGTGCTGTTGACATGGCTACTACCCACAAAGTGCAGTGACTTCAAACTTTTCCTTAAGCTTTTTCAGATTTTGCATAAGACTGCCCACAGGACTGTGCTTGGCGAGAATATTAAACTGTAATTTTGACTTTGGCCACTTAAACTGCAGAGCTCAGCTGCCATTCCAACCTTTACTTATCAGGTCCATTTTTTAGCTCCTTCCATGATACAACTCACATTATTGTGAGAATTGCAAACCACTAACCAAGAAACTCTAGCAGTAACACAGAGCTTTGGCAGTATGTATCAGAGGTTGATAACTCCAGCCTGAATGGGCTTGCAGTAAACTTGTATTTAGGGTATAAATCTCAAACCTAAGAATGTGTTACAACAGTTACTGGGCTCTGCAAATAGACAGCATTACAAGACAGTAGTTGCCTAAAGATTATAAATGGGAAATTACAGCAGTTATGTTATACTGGTCAAGTTTCCTAGCCAGAAAAGGTTTGGAGCAACAAATTTCAGCTTTCTGTTAATGATTTTTTCTAGAGCAACATACACCATTGCTACTGCTCACTTAATGTCACAAAAAACTACAGAGTTGCCTTAAGTACTCCTGGAGGTAACATAATTCAGCTTTGACCCATGAGTGTTTCAGAAGATGGGGAAACCAGATCCCAATAGCAACAGCTATGAATCTGGTGCTAAAATTTGGTTGGGAGATTTAAAAGCAAAATAAGGAACCTAATTTTTTATCTAAGGCAGTTTTAACTACAAAAAAACTGAAAAGATCATATTTTTGCACTGAGACTATTAAGTACAGCAGTCAACAGATGCATACATGATCTTATTAAGATTTAGTGCCTACAATTCATGGGGCAAAATATTTTGTTTGCAGATAGCAAGTCTTACTTCTAATCAAACTAATTGAATAAATACTGTAACACTGCCAGACAAATTGAAGATTAAAGGAAAAGCACTAAATCTTAAAGAGAAGAATCTACTCTCTTTAAAATATTAAAAATAAAACTGAATATTAAAAATAGCACCTACAGGATTATCAGACTACATGTCTGAAGTTGAAAAAGCCACTGACAGAACACCCTTAAAAGAGACTCACAAGTCAATACAGTAGTCATTAGAGCAACATAAGACTATTTTGTGGACTGGAATGTTTATTAAAAACTATCCTATTCTAAATGCTGCTGCTAACTACATTTATTAATTATTTAGTAATAGCTGGTAAATATCGTTCTTACTGTATAGTGAACAAGCTTGGCTTGTACCAGGGAAGAAGGGATACAGCGTTTTGCCGCTTAAACTACTACCACCCTGTCCACATCCAAGTATCTCAGACAGGGACTGGGCTAAAGGAGCCTCTAACTTTGAACCCAGCTGGGGCATAACCACATTGTCTGGATTTCTGAACGTATTTCAGCAACCTGATCTAGTGAAAAATGTTCTTGCCCATGGTAGGGGAGCTGAACTAGATTATCTTTAAAATGTCCCTTCCAACACAAACCATTCTATGAGTCAACTTGAATGATTCAAATTGTAGGTTTGACAAAGAAAATTGTCAAGAAGGTCAAACAACTCCAGTTACCTAAGTAAGTACTGTAATAACTAGTATTTACTTTTAGCACAGTTGAAATAACATATATTGGGGGAAAAAAGTAATAACAAAATCAACCAAACTACCTACGCAAATACCTGGGTCTTCTATTACCTATGTCAAATAGAAAAAGAAAAAAAATGATCTGGCCACCCGTCCAGGCAATCCATTGGAAATTTACAACAAATGTATACACATAAAAATAGCAAGTGTTTCGGAAGAGGGGGAAAATAAAGACGAAGGAGAGATGAATTCCAGTTGGAAAGCTGCTTTCTGTTTGCTCAGCCTCATCAGCACAGTGACCATGAAGAGCCCACCTAGCAAGGCTGGTCCTCCCCTCCTCTTGTTCAAGCTCCTCACAAGCTGTAACTACTCTGCAGTTTCCGTGCTTTGGGATGAGAACTCCACGCAATGCAGCCCCTCTTCCTACTTCTGCCCGGTCCAAACAACGACAGAGGTATTTTCCATCCTGACAGCTAAAGTCTCAGTTGCCTTTCAACAGTTTTCTTGTCTTCAGTCATTCCCTGGACATAAATTAGTGCCTTACATATTTACGGTTTCCTCCTTCTTCTTCTCTTTTCATTTCAAATACTTGGGCTTCATGTTCCCTTGCTGTCTTCATTTATCCTGCTTCCTAGCAGCCAAATCCTTCTTTGCACCCCCCATCCTCTCCAGCTCCCTACTGCGTGGAAGGCTCAATTTGTTCCTCCATTTTGGTACCACACAGAGCAGTTATTTAAAGCTCTTTGAAGAGAAGGCTGTTTCCCTGTTTCCCAGTTATTTCCTTACTGAAAGTCCTTCTCTGCGGTGTCAATCCCACCTTTGTCTCCCAAGTTGGGTTTCTGGTCCATATGTAACCAGCAAAACTACAAGTAACATTGGACAGACACAGCTCAGAGGAGGAAAAAAAAAAAGGAAGGGAAAGAAAAAAAGTCCCTCCTATAGAGTTGAAATTCACCTTTTTACCAAATTCTATTCTGTGCTTTCAGCTGTAAATCATTGTAAGATCAAAATTCTATTATGTAGTTTTCACAAGACTTTTTATAGTTCAGCACTGTTTTATATGACTTGTTCTATTAGTTCACAGTAACATGCACTTGCCCAAAACAGAAGTCTGCCAGTCTCTATATAGTCATACTTAAATCTTCGATTAAGGGAGTTTTTGAATGGGTTCTTTACACTGCTGTGCCTTTCAAAGCTTATGTTTTACTATCACAGAAATAAAACAATGTAAAACAGAAATGAAACAGATTATTTTGATGTGCATTTCCCACAACCAGGGCAGTTAATAAAACATATCTGAAACATATTTGGTGATCTAACTGGAAACTCTGCCAACAGTGAAACTAGAAAGAATACTTACATATTATTATAGAGGTAGTTTGACAACAAAAAGGGAACGAAAATACATTTTATTTCCCGATATTCATAAACTTACTTTTAAAACTAAAGAAACTACATAGAAACTACTCTGCCATATTAATTTTGTAAAAGTTCTGCCTAGGAAAAAAAAGTTGAAGACTTACAGAAACAATAAAATTAAAAAGACCTCAATGCAACACTGCTCAGTGTCCCACTAAGTTAAAATTGTTTAAAATACAAAGTAAAACTAAACATTTGGGCTGGTAAAGTAAGACCTAATAGAACAGTCAAACAGCAAATGCTGTCCTGTGAGAGACAGAGGGGCACTGGTCACATGGTAGAATGGCTAAATACTTCCATAGAACCACTACAAGAATTTTTGCAGCTCCAAAATGAGATATGATTTTGTTTAAGTGAACAAAATCAAGAGGAAATAAAATCCAAACTGTGATGGTGTTTAATTAAACAAAAAACCTCCAGTATTTTTTCTTTTAAATCAAGCCACTTACCCTACAGAACCTGAAGACCAAATTTTAAAATGAAGTTAACAGTTTGACTAAGAAATGTCTATGAACAAAACCAACAGCATCTGAAATATCATGATGCATGGTTTTATTCTCAGTGTACATTAAATATGACCTATTTAAATAGCAAGTAGCTAATTCGTCTGACTTCCATAACCTGCGAGCTCCTGAATGCCACAAAATATATCAAAAAAGACAAATCTTAGACAAGTAGTTTCTAACTGAGACAGAGAATCATTCAGAAGTACTT